TGAGACTCCAACTCAAAAAAAAAAAAAAAAAGAAAAAAAGAAAAAAAGAAAAAAAAATTCACTAGAAAAACTCCAATGTCTCAAGAACCAGACCTGCTTTTTCCATACTTAGTGCTTTTTCCCATTAGTCTACATGTCAGTAACTGCACAGAGAATCTCACATACTCAAACATTCAAAAGTAATAGAGGAAAACATTAGGCAGAAGTTACAAGGAAGTTCTGTTCCATTCTTTTATTCTCCCTAACCAAAATATTTCCTTCTATCAGGTGGATCAATAATTTCAAAAAGTAGAAACTTTCAATACTACAAAATCTTCACAATATAGTCAAAGTTTTTTTCACACACAAGGTACATCACAGTTAAGTTTCAGTAATCAATAGTTATTCTAATAATACAAAATTTTCAGTTTTTCAACCTCAGTATTTTCTGTGACAATTTTATTACTTTAGGAAAACATGAAGACTGTTTTGGTGACTGAACTCTAGCCAACGACACTAACAGGCAATGCTAATTTCTCACTTTTGGCTTTGGAGGCAGAACATACATTGTTTCAGAAAGGCTCAATATAGTTTAAATGTTTAAGATTACAGGCAAAAAGAAATTATATACTTGGAGTGTAAGAAGAATCTTAAGTTCCATGTATTTAAATTATAAATACATGCTGTACAAGAGCTAAAAGTGAAGTGTTTCTCAAATATGATAGGCAAATTATATAAGAAAACTTTGTTTCTATGAACTGAAAAGTATAGAAGATAACAGGGCTTAATTTATCTAATTTCAATTAATATTAAATTTCAGTCTTATCTACATGGTCTAGGTAAAACCAAAATGATTAATAAAGCAAAACGTATGTCTGAAACTAATAACCTGAAATCCTATTCAGTGGTCCCCAGTGACAAAAGAATACAATTAACGAGATCACTGGGTCAAGCAGTTCCTGAACCTCTTCCTGGTGTCTCTTCTAATCTACCATCATCTCTCCAAAAGAGGGCGCCGCACAACAGGCTGAGGATGTGACTTGGGGCCATTAAGTCTGCTGCTGTTATCTTTTTAGAAAATTAGAACTAGAGAGGAATAGTGAGATCAAGTTCTTTGAAGTACTATATTAAAGTATCTTAAAACTATTTTGAAAAACAAAAGGTACACCATGTCATTATCATTTCACTATGTATCAGTTGTTTTAAATAAACACAACTTCAGACAATTCTACTTGGTCTGATAAAAGGTTGAAAGAAACCCCTAATTTCATTTCAGCTCTAATGTCTAAACAAAAAGGATGAAAGTTCATGTCTCATGTATTTTACATGCAGGTTCAAGGGAACAATAAAAGATACAGACTCACCTAAACACTTTCAGATTACTTGCATTTAGAATGTCTGGAATCTCTGGAAAAGAAAGTAATTTATATCCATTAGGCAATGTTTCCTAAATTACATTTTTTTAATAGTTGTCTCATTTGTTATTTCAGATTCAACACACAATAACTGACAGCAAGAATACCCAAAAAGAAAATAATGTTTCAAAGTACTGCTATAATTAACAGGAAAAGTAAGTTTGGCAAGTATACAGGGCTTAGTTTTAAAAAGGCGATTTAAGAAACATGCTAGCAGGGTGCGGTGGCTCAAGCCTGTAATTTCAGCACTTTGGGAGGCCAAGGTGAAAGGATTGCCTAAGCCCAGGGTTCCAAGACCAGTCTGGGCAACTTGGCAAGACATCATCTCTACAGTAAATAAATAAATAAACAGCCAGATGTGGTAGCATGCACCTGTAGTTCCAGGTACTTGGAAGGCTGAGGCAGAAAGATCGCCTAAGCCCACCAGGCTGAGGCTGTGGTGGCTGTGAGTGTGCCACTGCACTCCAGCCTGGGCAACAGGAGTGAGACTCCAACTCAAAAAAAAAAAAAAAAAAAAAGAAAAAAGAAAAATGCTATTAAATAATAATTTCTAGCACAGAATCTGTGAACTAAAACAAACCTATTAACAAAATAAACCTTGTTCTATTTAATCATAAAAGGTACCTGGCAAAATCTAACTATCAATTCCCTAAAATAATATGCCAGGTTGTGAAATACGTTTTCTTGGTGAAAAGCACAATTTTTTTCTTCTTTTTTTTTTGAGTTGGAGTCTCACTCGGTCGCCCAGACTGGAGTGCAGTGGCCGTTCCCGGTCACTGCAGCCTCGA